GGGTAACGGCTATATAGCCGTTGGGAAGGGGGAGCCGGCTAAAAAAACGGAGCCACGCCGCGTGAAACGTATGACGCTAGGCGACTCACGCCGCTTTAACGCCGGAGGGGGGCAGTGTTTCACGCCCCCGGGGCATTAAACGCCCGTTCACGCCGGCGGGCGTGAGGACCATTACCAGTGCTCTTAGTTTCCTCAACCAAGTTATTTTACTTTCTTTTATTACCCCATAGTTTATTACCGAGTATTAGGTAATCTCTTATCATGGGTTTCATGGGAAATTTAACCACCGCCATGTAGGCGCTAGATAGGCTTGTCATGTGGATTGTCCTTTTCATCAAGCCCCATCACTTAGAGCATGAACAATGGTGAGACAAAAATCGAATGTCACATGCTGACGTGGAATATTTCAACCAATAAAAAATAGCCCAGTCAACGTGTGACACGTGAGTGGACTGACATGCCTTGCAGTGGCAAGTCATTGTTTTCATCACTTTTTTTCATATTTTTGCCATATTTGAATTATTAAAAATTATTTAACTTATATATTTTTATCATGAAAATATTTCTATTTACTCAAATAAATAATCTTTTATATATTTTTTAATTATTAAAAATGTTTTTATAATCTACTCCATATTTTTATTTATTCCCTCATCTCAACTTTGATTTTTATTTTAGGATTACAATGCAAAAAATCTCTATTTTTAAAAATCATTTCATATAAAAATTAGTATAAGAATTAAAAATAAAACTTATAAATTTAAAAATTACATCAAAATTTCTATAAAAAAAGATGTGACAAAATTTTTTTAATTAAATAATCAATGAAAACATACAAATAAACAAAAGATATCGAAAGGTGAGGGAAAAAAGTTTAATCTATTGCGAGATAGAGATAGTAAAAAATAGTTCTATTACTTTACAAAAAAATTCTTTCTTAAATAAAATTGAAAAGTAAAAAAAAAGGGTTAGATGTGTCTCGCCCAAGCATTGCACTCCATGGAAGAATGCTGCTTCCACGCAAGGAAAGAGAATCTTTTATCCTAGGTGGCATGGCATGGGCTTGGAACGCCGTTGTAGGGGACTTGACAAGGGGTACTGTGGGGGACTTGACAAGGGGTTTGACCACTGTTTTGTAAACAAATACTCCGTAAATTCTAATATTAATTTAAACATAATTCAAACTAAATGCATTGATACATGATAAAATTGCAATTAAGAAAGAACAACGAAAACAAAAGCAACGGAAAAAAAAATAAAAATGGAAAACAATTACGAGTAGAATGAAAAAAAAACATCTAGTTGTGTCTTTTTTATTTCGCCTTCGCCTCGTCCGTGTCTTTTCTAGCTTGCCAGTGATCTGTTGCAGTCCACAACATGCGCATGTCCGTGTTGTATTGTTTATCTTGTTGGAGAGAAATAAACATTTTCACAATATCTCGTCCAACTTCTCTTTCAACTTGCTACTCCTCGAGGACATTGGACATTTTCCTCGAGTGTTGCGTCCGTGGGGAGGGGTAGGCGAGGTTCTGGAGGAGGGATGTACTCCTCGTCTTCATCGGAGTTGTTCAAATTTTTATCAACTCCGGAAGAGGAATGTCCCGAACCCACATCGGTTGACGAATCCGTCTTTGACCGTTTTGAGACTTGAAGTCTATGGACATTATTCCACTACGTGGATTCACGCATTCTCCGTGCCTTGATACTCGTGAATGCATCACCCTCAATAGCGTTTTGGGGCAATGTGTCGCTCATAACCTGTGCATCGCTTTGGCCACTCCTCCCCGGCCTATTCACCTCGTTCCAAAAACCACGAAATTCGGAAACCTTTGCTTGCATGTCTCGCTATTTACGTGGTATCATGTCGTTGGTGTGGCATTGGCCACAACTCATTGTCTCAACAAATTTCAGTGGTCATAATGAGACAAGAAGCCTCAAAGTGCAAGCAAGCTAACATCTCTAGTAAGAAAACCAAAATGTCAAACAAAATTAAGGAACAAGAAAACAGAGAATTCAAATAATCTCGATCACAAGGTTAATTAATACTCCGTAATACTCTCTAGGTTATGAATATACTCATAAAAAACGTAGCAATTGATTTAGGATCAGCAATGGATTTCTATTACTCACCCAATGAACTCTATAGATCGGCTAAACAACATAGAATGCAATCTAGGATTCAAATAACATTCGTGGATTAGAATATCAGATCTCGAATTAAATGATGGAAAGAGATGAAGAAAAAGGCTAAATTTATAGAACCTGAACATCGTTAAAAATCTGACTGAAATCATCTACTGAACGCCGCTGGATCTGGTCAAATGGCTGAAGATGAAACCGAATTTGTGCGAGAGAATGGCAGACAGCGGCGGCGTGGCTACTCTGTGAGAAGTTCCTGGCATTATACAATAACACATAAAACATCATCACCTAAGAGTAATGCTCAATTGAGAGAGTCACAAATCTTATTTTTGGATCCCAAAAATAAAAAAAAGGTGAAGTTATTTACATATCCATTGTACTTATGCATTTTGTTATACTTTTGGTAATGTACATAGTCATGATTCGTAATTTAAATGCATTTTAACTCTTATTTCGCGAATAAAAATATGAAACTGTTAAATATATATATTATATTTAATATTATTGTATTATTATTGTTACCATATTTGTATAGGTTTCCTATTGTGTCTCTCCTACCTTAATTAGGATTGAGACTTGTGTATATATACATGTACTCTCCTCACAATTTATTCAATGAAAATACTTATTCTTCATGGTATCAGAGCCTAACTAAAACCCTAAAAAAATATCCTCCCTAGTTTCGGCCCTCTCCTCCGCCGAACCTCCACCTGCGCCGCCGTCTCTCTCCTCCTCTCTTTCACGGCAGGCAGCCTCCTCCCCCTTCTTCCATGGCTGAAAGTGAAGTCATCTCTCAATCCTCCACCCAAAAATCTCCACATCTGGCTTTCTCTGTCTCCAACGTCAAACTCCATGTTCCAATCCGACTCAGCTTTTCTCAACCAAACTACAAAAAGTGGAGCCGCCTGTTCCTTCTTCTTGCACGGCGGTTCAATCTTCAAGGCTATCTAAACGGCTCTATTGCTCCCATCTCCGATGACGACGATGAATGGTTTCAGCTTGATGCCGTTCTCCAAGGCTGGATTCTCTCCACCATCACTGATGAAGTTTCAGATCTAGTTATTTCCTCTGTCTCTTCTGCTTCTGCTCTCTGGAAGGTGATTCATGACCTGTTTCACGACAATAAACATGCTCGCGCCATGCAACTCGAGCACCAATTTCGCACCACCATCAAAGGATCTACTCCCATGGCTACGTATTGTCAAAAGCTCAGAAATATTGCAGATTGGCTAGATGACGTCGATGCCCCCGTGTCTGAGCACCAACTTGTTCTCCAAATGTTGCGTGGCCTCCCCGACGATCTACAAGCCCAAACTTCGTTCCTTCAATTTCAAGATCCCCTGCCGAGTTTCCTCCAGGTCCGGTCGGCCCTCCTTCTCCTTGACCGACAACGGACCCCCCTGGGCAGCAGCAACAGCACCGCGCTGCTGGCGGGGCATGGCGGCAGCAGCCACGCCGGTGGACAGCACGGCGGGACTGGCGGGCGCGGCTCCTCCGGCAGTGGGGGACAATTTTTTGGCAGCAGCTATGGTGACGGCTCATCCTCCGGGCAGCGTGGCGGCTTTGGACGCGGACAAGGGCGTGGCAACGGCAACCGGGGTCGTGCTCGAGGGCGCCAAAACATCGGATCGAGGCAGCGACCATCCACGGACGGGCACAATTCCTGGAACTCACCGTATCCAAACCCTAACCCCGGGGTGTTGGGCCCCCGGCCCACCCCCCCACCCTACCCATACTATGCCCATGCCCACTATACAACCACCCTACACCCTAACCCGTTACCCTACCCGCCCACTTCCCCCTACCCATCACCCTACCCGTCACCCTACCCCC